ATGCTTCTTTCCTTGCAGGCGTTGTCTGCTATTGTGGCTGTCGCCGCGGCTTCGCCCTCCCCGGACGAGAGCGCTTACAAAATCCCCCGAGTGGGAACTGGGAGACGCTCCCAGTACTACGTCCGACACAGGGACGGCACCTTCAAGTATGGCCACGACACTGGCGACGGCGCCTTCGAGACCGCACGCTCGTCTGCAGTTGGGGAGCAACGCGGCGCCTTCGGTTATGTGAACCCTGAGGGCCAAGCAGTTAACTTGCAGTACGAAGCAGGGCAGTCCGGATTCGTCCCTAAGGGCACCCACCTACCGGCCACACATCCGGACTTCGACACTGCTCACGCTCTGGCCCGTAACCGCAGACCTTTCCGCGACCCCTTGGCCAACCCCAACGCCGACCCTTCGTACGGATTTACCTTCCAGGGAGACGAGCACGCGCGCTCGGAGCTCAGTGACGCCAGCGGCAGAGTGCGAGGCTCATACTCCTACATTGACGAAACTGGACGAGCTCGCTCCTACACCTACACAGCTGGAAGCGGCATTGGCTTCGTCATTGAAGGGGACGACCTGCCACAGGATCCACTCAACCCCAGCTCTACTCCCGCAGCCACTAAGCTCTCCTCTGCACGACTGCACTTTCCTGCAGTAGTCAACCAGCAACTGTTGCGCTCTGGTCCACTCCGCGTACAGACTTACGCCGCCTCTCCTAGCGCTACAACGCCCAGGCGACCCGTGGAACAGGCCAACGTGAAAACTTCTCTCGCTCTGGACGGCCGACAGTCGTTCGACTTCCACACTTCCACTCACTCCCGAGGAGAAACGGCCGACGCCAATAACAACGTGGTTGGAAGGCTTTGCCTTCACCTCCGAGGACGACGGACAGAGAAGAAGTGTGCAGTATAAGGCTGGAGCTGACACGGGATTCGTAGTGGAAGGAGACCATCTGCCTCGCGGCCCAGCGGTTCCTGGAGCGCCCCTCGGGGTTCCCTCGGGGAACATTGTTCCTGTGAGAGAAACGCCCTTCGTCGACCCTCTGGCAAACTCCAACACGGATGCCTCTTACGCCTTCAATTATCAAGAAGAAGGACAATCTCGAAGTGAGACCAGCGACCAAGACGGCACTGTGCGAGGCTCGTACACGTACACCGACGACGAGGGAAGAGTCAGGACGCTGACCTACACTGCAGGGAAGGGCATCGGCTTCGTGGTGGAAGGCGACGGCGTGCCCGAAGTGGAGACAGCCATTTCAGACGTGCTGTCTTACTCGTCGCCGTCAGTTCACTCCGTATCGTCAGTAGTTTCACCGTCTGCGTCGTCAGCGTCGCCGGTGAGTTCACCATCTGCCAGTCCCTCTTCCTCAGCAGCAGCTGGCAGTCGTTTCAGCTATTCTTCGGGACGAGATTTTCAGCTACGTCAGTACAATGTGAATGAGAATCCGGACAAAGTGGGTTACGTTTTAACTTTCAACAATTAAGCCCTTGTGTCTCGCACCTGCATTTTGATGATTTCAAAAAAGAAAAATAAATAATAGCGCAGCCCTTTCATTTTCTTTAATTTTGTCCTTTCCAAGCATGTCTAATTGATGAAAACGTTTTTCTTTATAATCTTAACGTGAATTTACTGACATTGTACTCAAAGCCAGACCTCTTCACGCTCAATGGATTTACTGGCTGAGACAACATGGTTGGAAAATTACTAGAAAATCAATAAAAAGATGAGCATCTGCAGCATAAAATGTCGCAAGGCTCTCTTCCTCCTCTGTTACATGATTACGTGATAGTCAAGGTGAAATTTTCTTAATGGGCCCAAGAGTGCAAACTCAATTACTGTGAATTGGTTCCAAAATGCGCATTATTGCCCATCAATTGCCATTCATTTTATTTCTACTTTAACATTATTTATCATTACCTTTTCTTGACCAACTGCCCATCAGTTTATATCACTTTGTTTCCTTATTACATCTTGATGTCTACTGTTTTTATTTTTTAGATGAGTCACTTTTTCAATTGCGTGTTCGTGTTTCCTTTTGTATATGTTTGACTTATTTTTAGTTAGTCCAAGTTACAAGTACTTTGGGTCCAATCACAAGGCGAATTAAATTTGGTCTAAACACAAGGTAAGCTTGTTGCGTGTGTGAGTCTGTGTGTGCATGAACCATCTGGAACAAAAGGTATGTTCTTTTGATGCCAATGACCCAGCCAGTGGATGGGGTGCTATAGTATCATCTGAGGGAAGGAAGAGGTCTATTCACCCGATAGAATTTCTAAAATTGATGCATTAAAATCGTTATGGGAGGGGAGACGGCCATCCAATTGACGGGGTACATTAAAATCGACGGGTAGAAGGAAGGGTGTCATCTTGAATATAGGGTGCTTTTAATTCGTTACGGGGAAGGAAAGGTCCATCAAGAATACGGGTACAGGTGTTCTGCAGCTATCGAGGGGAGAGGAAAGTGTCAGCTAGTAGGTGGAATGCTTAAAAATTGTCCGAGGGAGGGGTGAGCCTATCCAGTGGACAGGTGCTTAAAAAATGTTGAGGGAGAAAGGGGCCATCAAGAGGATGAGCTCTGTTTTTTTTTTTTTTTTTTTATTAATTTATTATTTATTTTATGTCTTATTTATTTATTTATTGTAAGAAAGGATGAGTTGTAAAATCCAATGGATGGTATGCTTTCAATTTGTGAGAGGCCACTAAGTGGACCTCTTAAATCGCCGTCAAACACTTGTAATACAATAATCTATTTTTCTTTTCACTCGGCTACGATTCTGCTTGACTGCGAATTTTTCGAGTTGCCATGATTTTTTGGAATTTCAATATGTTCTTTAGACACTTTTCTATTGCATTCTCGAGTTACTACAAGGAGGCCTTTTGGAGGCTCTTGGTATGTTATAAAGGACCTACTGGTGGACTAGCAGATTCATAAAGAAAATTATCCAGCCAAACAGTGTATCTATCGTATATATATATATTATATATATATATATATATATATATATATATATATATATATATATATATATATATATATATATATATATATATATATATATATATATATATATATATATATATATATATATATATATATATATATATATATATATATATATATATATATATATATATATATATATATATATATATATATATATATATATATATATATATATATATATATATATATATATATATATATATATATATATATATATATATATATATTATATATATATATATATATATATATATATATATATATATATATATATATATATATATATATATATATATACATATATAAAATGTATTATATATTTCGGTATTACTAATACTCATATCTTTTATGTCATATATACACATATATATATATATATATATATATATATATATATATATATATATATATATATATATATATATATATATATATATGTATATATATATATATATATATATATATATATATATATATATATATATATATATATATGTATATATATATATATATATATATATATATATATATATATATATATATATAGCAATATATATATATATATATATATATATATATATATATATATATATATATATATATATATATATACTTATATATAAGTGTTGCCGAAGTATCTGCTGATCGCCTGGGAAACGTTGCATGACGGTAACGTGAGAAACTCATTAGAAGAAGGTGAAGGATTGGATCTTGCGAGTATATTCTCCGCCTTCCTTCTGAGGTTCAGTAGGAAGCCTTTAGGGTATTTACTACTTCCTTCCTACTGAACCTCAGAAGGAAGGCGGAGAATATACTCGCAAGATCCAATCCTGCACCTTCTTCTAATGAGTTTCCCAGGCGATCAGCAGATACTTCGGCAACACAGTGAAAATTGCCAGCACAGCCGGGAATAAGATACATGACATGATACGGGAGAAAAAGCAGCCTGTAAACAACACCAACAGTGCTGTGTATCGCATACCCTGCAGCAGATGCGACACAGCATACTTTGGAGAAACAGGCCGTGGCTTCAGCACCAGGATCAATGAACACCGAGCTGACATCCGTGACCATAGGACTTCCAACGCCATGGTGGTCCATGTAGATGAAGCTGGACATCTACCTAATTGGAAAGAAGCAAAAATAGTCCATGAAGGACTGAACAGGCAGCAAAGAAAAATCATGGAAGCTGCCTACATCGCGACGGAAAATAACATCAACACAGCTTCGGGCAGGTTATCCAAGGTCGCGGCAGCAATCATACGGTCAACGAGCGGGAGGTCACAGTCAGGTAGCACGTCAGCTCATGTGTGATATATGCACTGTATCTCCTTTGTTTGGCTGGATAATTTTCTTTATGTATCTCCTTTGTTGTATGTATTTCTGACGAAGATATAATTCGAAACCGGTCAAATACATCTCTTGTATTGTAAAGATACTCATTCTCATTCATACCTTTTCTACATATATATATATATATATATATATATATATATATATATATATATATATATATATATATATATATATATATGTATATATATATATATATTCCACAACAAATGTTACTTATAATATGTGGCAATAATATTTTTTTGGAAACACAAGAACAGAATACAAAGAAGAAACTGTGACAGAACAGTACCAGACTGGCATGATCAGAAAACTAATATTGAGTAATAAACTGATCTGTATCACTAATCTAAATAGAAATTTATTGTATGGCAGTAAAGTCCCCAGATAGGAGCCCTAATGAAAATAATTTGGGGTTATTTTAAGTATGAAGACAATATTAATAAAAAAAAGTATGAGATCAAAGAGGATAAAGAACCATGTGTTTGGAGAAAATTTGAGGATTTAACAGATTTCCTATTTAAAATAGAAATTTATTGTATGGCAGTAAATCCCCAGATAGGAGCCCTAATGAAAATAATTTGGGGTTATTTTAAGTATGAAGACAATATTAATAAAAAAAAAGTATGAGATCAAAGAGGATAAAGAACCATGT